TGAAAACACATTTCCATGTGAATTTTACCGAAAAACCCTTTTTAAAGGCAAAAAAATATGTAATTTTCAATTTTTCAAGGACTATCAGGTCATTGAAGCTACCAATCTTTGGCGGTCATTTTCTCATTAATTTAACCACTGAAACCAGGCTACTCCCACCTGCTTCAATAGCAAACATCTCGACTTCTATTCAAGCTAGATGGATACTTTTTTCATTGAAAGCAAGGCAAATGAATAAGCTTTCAGATGATACCAATAACTGCTCATGCTAAAAAATTGACGAGCGCCTGATTCCACTACGTCGTGACACCTTATTAAGATGTACGCAGCTCAAGGCAGTCCTGTACAGTATTAATGTGGCTGAACTAGTTATGGTGTATAATTCGTAGGCTATACTATCTTTGATAACACGGTATGGCTGCATGCCCCTACTTGGGGTGAGGGAGGGGGGGGGATATTATCTAAGACTAGACTAGATGTCCTTGTATCCAACGTCCACCTCTGATAAGATCAAGTAAAGCGGGTGGTCGGAATCGAGGAAGGGAGCCACGATTTCACATTCACACCCCACACCCCCTCTCTATTACCTCGTAAAAAAACCCTTCTACTTGAGTTCAAAGTTCAAGAACGCCATGCTGAGGATTCAAGCCACGGCCATCCGCTCTGAAAAATGCAGATTAGAATTGTAAATTGTAAATTGTAAATGGGCTGATTCATCAATGTCATGCTCATAACTGTTCTGAACTGCAACAGGGAACTGTTGCTTTTTCTTTCCTAATCCTTACTATCATCATTTTTCCTCTACTGATGATAGTAAGGATTAGGAAAGAAAAAGCAGCAGTTCCCTGTTGCAGTTCAGGCATAGTTATGAACATGACATTGATGAATCAGCCCATTTACAATTGACAATTCTAATGTGCTTAAGAACATATTAATGTCCCCCCATTGGGAATGGCCTAAAGATACGTCAGTCAGTAGCACCACTTGGGGCGGGGGGGGGGGGATAAAAATGTTGCCTGAGACATTCCAACTTACTCATCTTTTGCTGGTCGGAGTCACGCCATTTTGGTGGACACATACACAAGGAATTTTCACGGTCTACTTTAACTACCGACATCCTGAGAGACGGGAGACTTTTGGTCGGGCGGTTTCTGTTGTGGTGGACACGCGGGCTTACTGTGCTCACCGTGCTGTGATTCTTGCATTGGGTATGTAGACGTCGTGTCGTAGCATTCTCTTGTTACATCGTCGAAGAGCGCGCTCATATAACCTTATGCAGTTGCGAGCGCCGTAAAACCCCATACTAAACATCATTTTTCCTCTACTTCTTTTGTATGTTTGTCACACTCTTGTGACCCGCTATTTCCGGGGTGCCTTGATAGTCGAAACAAACTTTGTGCTGTTGAAGCTTGAGACGTGAGCAGAGTAACCCCGATTCCCTGTAAGGACTTCTCTGTTGACATCCACCCCTTGACGCTCATATAACCTTATGCAGTTGCGAGCGCCGTAAAACCTCTACTAAAAAAAAGAAACATTTTTGTCGGGTTGTGTACCGCTTCAAAATGACTGACCACACACCACGGTGGAAATGCACAATAGCATAGTACGAGGTTATTACATTCAATTTAGTAACAGGTCAATAACTTTAATTGGTCGCTTTTAAGCACAAGGGGGCTATCCCGAAAAATGCTGCTTTGAGAAAATCGAACGTAACGTTTTAGGACCCCAGTTCAGTTTCTTTAAAAGACAAGAAGAATGTTCTCTATAACCAAACAAATATACACACCAAAGAAACCAAACTTCTTCTATAGGTAGGGCAACGCCCACTTTTGGTGGAAGTCAATATTTCTGGCAAGCGCCGAAATGTGGGTTAGCGCGCTTGTCCTTAGAAGCGACCAATTGTTAATGGACAAAGCCGCACCAGCTCGTCCAGCTTTGAACTCGACACAAGACGTGAAGTCAGGAACAGAGACTACACTTTGATCGTAGCCTAAACGCCGAAAAGTGATTTCATTTTGTGATTATATCTATGTTTGTTTTTCTCGGGAGCGCCGAAGTCTGGGTTAGCCCGCTTGTCCTTAAAAGCGACCATTTGTTAACGAATAAACACAGCAATTCTTCTGACCTTTACTGACAACTGACAACACGTACAGCGGCTGAATACCAACCCAAAAAAAATCAAGTCTCACAACTCATGCTTTCTTGTTATTAGACCCCAGAAGGGCAGGTCTGGATTATGTGTTTCTTTTATTGCAGAGTATGCATAATACGGCAAGCCAGTGTAACATTATGAAGAGCTCATGACAACAATGAAGTGATAGAAACTGAAGTGGTATATGAACATTGTACGATCTCAGGGGTTTAAAGACGATCCTGAAATAT